AGAGAGAGAGAGAGAGAGAGAGAGAGAGGGAGAGAGAAAAAGAGAGAGGTACACTCGATTGCAGAAACGTAGTAGTATACATTTATCCAAATATCTAATTTATTCAGTATATTAATGATACGCAAAAAAAGAAAAATCGCTTGTCGAAGTACTTGGTCAAACTTCTTTCTCCATTGGTTGGCAATACGCAACAACACTTGAAGAACAGCAAAGAGTGGGTAGAGATTGCGCAGGACTTGACTGTCAGTAAAGATGAAGAACTAATGTCATTAGATGTAGTCTCATTATTTACTTCAATTCCAACTGGCATAGCTGTAACCGCTGCGAACGATAGGCTGAAAAAAGATGCTAGTCTTCCTGAGCGCACTAGTCTTACACCTGTTGATGTTACCGCTTTGTTGTCTTTTTGTCTAAGTTCTACTGAGTTCAGTTTCAAGAGTAAGTACTACAAACAGATACATGGGACTGCTATGGGTTCGCCTATTTCTGTATGTGTGGCTAATTTAGTCATGGAGGTGGTTGAATCCAGGGCGCTTTCAACATTCTTTGCTACGCCACGTGTCTTTAAAAGATACGTCGATGACACTGTTTGCATTATCAAGAAAGACCAGATCAATGTTTTTCATGATCATTTAAACCAACAAGACCCGAATATTAGGTTTACTATGGAAAGATACTCTGAAGCGGGACTTCCGTTTTTAGATACTTTAAATAGAGTGTCTGAAGATGGTGGAATTAAGATTTCAATCTATCGCAAGAAGACGCACACAGATAAATATTTGTCATACGACAGTCATCATCCTTTGAGCCACAAAGCAGCTGTAGTTCACACTCTTGCTTATCGTAAAGAAACTCTGCTTAGTGACCAGGATTCAAAAGAGAAGGAGGAAGATCATCTCACAGAGAGTCTAACTCAAAATGGCTACCCTATGAAAKTCATCAAGAAACACTCAGTCATGCGTAAAAAGAACACAGAGAACGATGAAACGGAAGATCCCAAAGGCTTTGCGGTGTTACCGTATGTGAAAGGAACTACTGAGAAGATCACTAGAATTCTTTCACGCCATAACATCAGATGTTGCATGAGACCAGAAAGAACTCTGCGGAATGTCATATCTAGACCAAAAGACCAGGTCCCCCAGGATAAGCAAGTTGGGGTAATTTATTCCATTCCTTGCGATGAATGTAGTATCAAGTACATCGGGGAAACAAGCAGAGCTCTTGGAACTAGGTGCAAAGAACATCAGGCGGCTGTGCGTCTGAACAAGGCAGAAAGATCAGCCTTAGCCCAGCATGCACATGAAACGGGGCACTCAATCCAATGGGATAACATTTCAATCGTTAAWAAAGAACAAAGATGGAACCAAAGAAAGTGGCTGGAAGCATGTGAGATATCAAAGCAAAAGAACATTATTTTTAATAGAGACAGTGGCAGAATTCTGCCAGCAAATTACATAAATCTTTTGTGATTTTCAATGCTCGTGATAGATATTTGTATAAGTGTATACTACAACGTTCCTGCAATCGAGTGTATATATATATTTAACAACAACAACAACAACAACAACAAAATTTAACACTTATTTACTGGGACCGAGGGAAACAGTATGTTTTGTGGTCCCGAGACCGCTGATGTTTCCCGAGGCGGAGCCCAGTGTCAAAGACCAAGTGTCAAAGAGAACAAAATAAAAATGGAGAAATAAATAAGATTTTTAATGTTTTAAATACACAACTTGTGCATAGCCGTAGTCAAAGCAAACCTACTTCTTTACAAAGAAAATATGTGTCAAAAGTTGCTTTTCAGGAAAATTAGTATAGGAAATCGCACGATCTTCTCGTACAATTTGGAAATTGATAGACACTCGTAATGTTTTGAAAGTTCTTGCAATTAAAGAACTCTCAAAACATTACGAGTGTCTATTAATTCCAAATTGTACGAGAAGATCGTGCGATTTTTTGTTTATAGTTCACTCAACCAAATTACAGTAAAAAATGCGAAGCGACGCCGTTCATCTTTGTCTATTTAGCGGCCGATTTTCAGTCCGTCGCGCAACTRAAATGCATAGAAAAGATTAGTTCCTATTAGTTTTTACGGTTTTTTTTTTTTTTCATTTATTTGCCGATGTTGACATTGTATTGGCCGTGTTTCCATAGCGACTTAATTCGGTACTCCTACGGAGTACAATTAACGYTATAATTGTACTCCTCTCGACCAATCAGAGTCGAGAAATTTTGTTGAGTGTGATATAAAAGGTGATATTACAATTATTGAAAGCACCATAGGAAAAGTTGACATTTCTGAGCGAAGTAGAAGACGTGTTCGCTTGTGTTGCTAAAGATCCTAAAGGTAAAACGGGCAAACCAGGAAACGAAGTGTGTAAATGTGTGAAAATGTTTGT